AATAACCAAACACACAACCAAAAATAAAAAAACCCACCCCCAAATCCCTAAGCTTGATACTGGAAAATGTGTGTCTGGTTTGTTTTTGTCTTCACATTTCATGTTAAAAAAGATGTTTTCACTTGTAGATCTAAGCTCATTGTCATCTTCCCTGTGACATGCAAGAAAAAGGAGCAGAACTTGCCTCTTATTTTCATTTGCTTCTTGATTTACAAGCCCCTTAAATATAAAAATAAGTTTTTCTAGCTTTTTTCTGTTTTACTTGGTAAACTAGTAAATGGAACATGCATTCAGATATTTCCTACTTAGGAGATCTGATAAACAGATGCATTTCTGGGTGCAGCAAAAATATTTCTATAGCAAGAATTTTGTAGTATTTTTAAAACATTTGATTACAATCCAACAAAAACTGAGTTACAAGAATATCATAGGATGTTCTGACCTGCATACCCACCAACATAATTTTTAATTTTTAATGGTTACTTCATTAATGAATACTGTTGATATTTATACCAGGATTTTTTCCAACCTCTGTATCTGTTTTTTTAAATATTTTTTTTTAAAATAGAACTTCACGCTTTGGAGGACTGTTGAAACACAAAGTGAGCAAATTGTGAATGATCAATTTATGCAGGGTCTTGACAAAGACTTGTTCTGCCTTGTAATGTTGCATTCAATACAGTTAAAGACAATTTAAATAACACAATATTTGGAACACCTGAATGTTCTGATTTCAGTTTTTAGAAAGAAAAGACATAGTAACTGTACAGTTGAAACAGTTTATGTCAAGTCAGCTTCTTAAGCCTCACACCACTTGTCATTAAGTCCCTTCAGACAAAAAACAGTCTTTAATAAAGATTGTAACATATAGAGAAATAAAAGAGGCTTTGCAGTGCCAGAAAGTTGAAGAGAGCTTACTGACCAATGCTGGTCAGAATGTACCAAATAATTAACGAAGATATAACAGATAATGAGTGGAAAGGAGGAAATTCTGAACGCAGAGGAAATATTTTAAGCTAATGGGCAATCTGCCTAAAAGGCCAAGAAAAACTGTTCTGATTGTGGAAACTTAAAAACATGGAGAGTAAGATTCTGAAGCCTGGAAGAGCTGAGATGTGAAGTTGCTGATGAGCATGAGAAAGAAAGAAGCATGGATGAGTATTTCCACAGTAGAAAAAGGCAAAGGAGTTATTAAAAAGATAGTTGCAGGACAGCAAAAACTGTTTTTTTTCAAGACAGAAAAGAGAATATGATAATGCAGTTACTGTATGTGAACCAGCTGCTATCTGCTTTAGAAAAGAAGATAGATAAAAGTAAAGGATTATGTTTTATTCTTAGCTTCTGTCACCAAGTTTATTGTAGTATAGAAAAATATTAATGCATTAAACTTAGAAGATTTTATACGTGTTTTTTTGTCATCAAAGACTGCCTTGCTTGAATTTTAATAGCAGATGTTAGTGCATGTTTTAATATTTTCTTTTAACCACCTGCCCTTTTCTCCCCTCAGTCTGGAGAGTTCAGGAAAGTCTTGAATTTAAAGAAAGTGTTACAAAAGAGAAAATGACAAAAGAGAAAATTGGAAAACTTTCTTTGTCTCTTCCTCTCTCCTTGTCAGGTTATCTGTGTTATCTAAAGTAAGATTTCTGTTATGTTTTAGTGTTATAAATTATATTAAATATTAGATCTGAATTTATTTCTAGCTGTTGCGAAACCAGAGATTCTCCGCTTCCTTTCATCACGCGGTGGAAACAGTTGTTAATATGCTAATGCCACACATCACGCAGAAGTATAGAGACAATCCAGAGGCTTCAAAGAATGCAAACCATAGCCTTGCTGCCTTTATAAAAGTAGGTACACGAGTCACTTGGGTTCTGTGGTTACTTTTTCAATAATACTGCTTCTCCATGGATTTTAAAGTATATTAAGGCCAACTCACGTAAAACTGAATATGGTTAATGCTTTTTAAGTATAATTCTGTTTCCAAGTTAAAATGCATTGAAGTATAATTTGTCTTCTGCAATCAAGAAGACATCTATTAAAAATTTTGATGTTTTAAAAATGTTTTTATATTTTGTCCAAAATGTATTTTAAGTTTTTTTTCTTTAAAAGTATCATCTAGGCTACCTTCTAATCTTACAAAAGCTTCATACATTGAGCAGTGTTCTGTCTGTATGCATTTTATGTAGACAGAGTTTTCAGTCTTTCCTTTTTCAGACAATAAGAGCCAGTAGGGAGAGAAAAGGATGGAAAATGAAATGGTAGATAAAGCTGCTAATGGCATGTCGTTTTTGTTCTCATTAAGATAAAGTTCTTCTCTTCAAACTGCTTTTTATTTGCAATTTGTTAACATTATGCGCTCTAAAGGAAAATTTGGTATTCATATATGTATACATATATTTAATTTCATTGGGTTTTATATTCAAACTGAAATATCAATAATGTGCCTAGAAAATAAACTTGTTAAATACAGAAAGAAATAATTACTGAGCACTGAGACAGTACTAAATCAATTTTATCTTGGTTTTGCTTGTTTTCCCCAGAGGTGTTTTACTTTTATGGACAGAGGCTTTGTTTTCAAGCAAATCAATAACTACATCAGCTGCTTTGCCCCAGGAGATCCGAAGGTACTCAGTGGTTTTAAACAACTATTTCAGGCGTTGCCTCTTCTTTACACAAGTGGATAGACCCCTGATTAATTCTTCAGATTTCTTCCCAGTTAAAAGTCCCTGTGTTGTGCCTACAGCATTTCTTTCCATCAAATCACTTTTTCATGTTTTGATTCACATCTTCAGGTGCAACTTTAGCACCTTACAGCTTGTGTATTGTCAAAGTGGTGGGTGTGCAACACTGAGCAGAAATTTTAAGCAAGAGTGTGAGAATGGCTAAAATTGGAAGAGTTGATACCTGTTAAGTTTCTGTACATTGTTGTGGTGAAAGCCTGTACCAGATTTCCAAAGAATTTCCTCTGTGGGTCCAAACTTTTCTTACATCAGTATATAATATTTTAGTAAACTTAAATGACTTTGGACATAGGGAACAGTAAGAAGAACTATGTCCCATTGTCTAATATGAATTATGCTGGGATTACTTATTTTATACTGACTTATGAAACTTTGATAGGTCCATATTCCTCATAATACAAGACTGAGAGAAATCACCCTTTTGTGTTAGAAATTGGTTTTAATGTGTTATTCAAATCACTACATCAATTGTTTAATTTATATTTGAAAATTGTTTTTTGCAGACTCTTTTTGAGTTCAAATTTGAATTTCTCCGTGTAGTCTGTAATCACGAGCACTACATACCTTTGAATCTACCAATGCCATTTGGAAAAGGCAGAGTTCAGAGATACCAAGGTAAATTATTGTGAAGAAATGTATTGCATATTCCTTAAATGTCACCTTTTTACTATTACATATGTAGACTGTGTAACATCAGGTCTGTGAGATGTTGGAAACCTCAAAATTACTAAACGCAAGGCTAAAGTTGTAATCCTTTAAGTTTAAAGGAATAGATTATGTAGCAGAGTAATCTGTCTGAAATATGAAGTCATTGGAAGATATGGTAAACTACATCCTCGACTCTGCCTCCCTTTCCTGCTGTGATTATCAAGATTGCTTTTTCTCATGAGTTTAGCTTTTAATTCACTAGCTGTGGAAGGCAGCAGTGCTTCTGTAGGTAGGTGGAAGGCAGCAATGCTCCTGTATGTAGGAGTACAGTGTGAGGTTTGGTGTACTTATGTTTTCATATGCCCATTCACGTTAAAAGGGACTTCAGCAGGTCTATAGTGCAACCTCCTGCTTATGTCACCTCAGGCCTTCCCTCCTCCAGATGGAACAAGCTCAGTTCACTCGGTTTCTTCTGATAGGGCACGTGCTCTCACTGCCTTGGTGGTCCTTTGCTGAGCTCACTGAAGTTAAGATCTATCTTGTACTAGAAAGCCCAAACACTACAGAGGGTATTACAGGTACTTGTAACATGGCAAGTAAAGGGGAATAAACACTTCCCTTGAGATACTGGCTATAATGGTTAGACAAGGGGAAGGAAGTGGATGTGGTCTACCTTGACTTCAGCAAAGCTTTTGACTGTCTCCCATGGCATCCTCATAGTCAAGCTTAGGAAGTGTGGACTGGACCATTGGGCAGTGAGGTGGATTGGGAACTGGCTGGAGGAAAGAGCTCAGAGAGTTGTGGTCAGTGGGGCAGTCTAGTGGAGGCCTGTGGCCAGTGGCATCCTGCAGGGGTCAGTGCTGGGTCCAGCCCTGTTCAATATATCCATCAATGACCTGGAGGAAGGGATAGAATGTGCTCTCAGCAAGTTTGCTGACGACACCAAACTGGGAGGAGTGGCTGCCATGCCAGAAGGCCGTGCTGCCATCCAGCATGACCTGGACAGGCTGGAGAGCTGGGCAGGGAGATACCTAATGCAATTCAATAAGGGCAGGTGTAAAGTGCTGCATCTGGGGAAGAACAGCCCCATGGATCAGTACAGGTTGGGGGATGTTCTCTTGGAGTGCGACTCTAGGGAAAAGGACCTTGGAGTCCTAGTGGGTAACAGGATGACCATGAGCCAACAGTGTGCTCTTGAGGCCAAGAAGGCCAATGGCATCCTGGGATGCATTAAGAAGAGTGTGGCCAGCAGGTCGAGGGAAGTTATCCTCCCCCTCTACTCTGCACTGGTGATCCCTCACCTGGAGTACTGTGTCCAGTTCTGGGCTCCT